CCCCCCCCCCCCCCCCCACCACCAAAAAAAAAAGAAAAGGAATGGCTCGTACGGGGATGTGTGTGGCGATGGACGAAGAAGAAGAAGAAGAAGAAGAAGAAGAAGAAGAAGAAGAAGAAGAAGAAGACGAAGCGATGGCCAGAAGCGTTTGTTGGGCAACACACTTGGAAACTGTTTTTTTTTTTCGGCCTTTTTTTAATATTCCTCTCTGGGGTTTGGGGGGGGGCTCTAAGGTGGGTTTTCTACCCCTGCGGGGAGGAACAAATGGATAGGTGATGAACGAGTAGAAGAGCACGAAGGCCGGGTATGGTGGGGAGGGCGTCAACTTTTTTGGGGAGGGCTTGAACTTTTTTGGGGAGGGCTTCAATTTTTTTGGGGCGGGCTTCAATTTTTTGGGGGACGGGTTCATCTTTTTGGGGAGGGCTTCAACTTTTTGGGGGAGGGCTTCAACTTTTTTGGGGAGGCTTTCGACCTTTTGGGGAGGCCTTCAAGTTTCCGTTGGGATATTAGGGGGGTTGGGGGGGGAGGGGGATACGTTCCGTTGGGATAATGGGACCCGACATAGGATGCTGAGACAGGGGTGGGACGTCAGCTATCATATATATATCGTATATATCGTATATATATATTTTAAGAATGTGTTCAATTATCTTATTTTGTTCATCCCGTTGCATCTGGATTCGAAGTCTAAAGGGTTCTCTGCCATTCATGCTGGTGTCTCCTCTGGGTGTGAAGGCAAGCTCTCGTATTCTATCCATTATCATCCATCCATGGATAGTAATGGATAATAATGGATAAATGGATAAACGTATAAACGGATAAGTGGATAATGGAAAATGGATAATGGATAATGGATAATCAAGAATAAATAGGATGTAATAATAGTAAAATACTAAAATAGAGAGATGGAGAAGCTACTGTCTTCCACCGCACACAACTCAACGTCAGCAGGACTTTTTTTTTTTTTTTTTTTTTTAATGTGGCCCGATGGACTGACGAGAATAGATACTACACTTGATCTTAGCTAAAAGGCCGAGAAAGGTATAGCAGGACTGTGTTGAACCCTGATGAGAAGGAAGGGTTGTTCACATTATCCATTATCCATGATTTGTTTATTAATTTATCCAATATGCATCTAGATTAATAATAATAATAATAATACTACTACTACTACTACTACTAATAATAATATAACTAGTGTAAATATAGAATATAATATAATAATTCTCGTAACATAATAATTGACAAATGGAGAGGCTCCTGTCTTCCGCTGAATGCAACGCACCGTCAACAGGACATAGTGATAATAATGATAGTAATATAATGTAATAATAATAATAATAAAATTATAACGGTGGTCATAATAATAATAATAATAATAATAATAATAATAATAATAATAGACACGTCGAGAAGCTCCTGTCTTTGGATCGATAATAATACTAAAATAAAAAAATAAAAATAAAAAAAAACAATATAAATAAATAATAAGAATAATAATAAGAATAATAATACGTAATAAGAATAGGCACATCGACATCGAGAAGTCAATGGGACTGTGTTGGATCGGAAGAACGGCTTGTATCCATTATCCATTTGGATCAATAATAGTACTAAAATATTAAAATAATAAAATAAAATAAATCATAATATATTAATGTAACAAATAATAATAATATATGATATAATTAATTAATCATAATAAGATCTTTTTTTAATTTGTTGTGTTTTTTTCTTAATAACGTTTTTCTTATTTTCATCAATTTTGATTGGCTTTTTTTGCATCCAAAGCGTATTTTATTGAAGTTCATCATACATATACTAATAATAGCAATAATACGTAATAATAAGAATTAGGCACATCGACATAGAGAAGCTACCGTCCTCCCACGAACGCGACGCACCTTGAACGTGTCTGTATCGGACTGGAAATATATAATATGTACATTCATTATGAGGGTGCGTTGTGATCGGTTGAAGACGGTAGGAATCGCTTACGCTCTGCAAGGGTTGTTTCCTAAGGAGGAAATTCTTCCTCAACCCCTATATAGAACCAAGGTGACGGATGTATTCTGCCGCCTTCCTTGGGAAGGTGCATTGTAATTTTTCGTTTCGTGCGTAGTGTGGCGAGGCCCTGAGTCCTTTTTTTTTTTTTCCGGCCCTAAGGGCATACTCACACTAGCACGTACTTCTTCTTCTTTTTTTTTTTTTTCTTTTTTTTTCCTAACACGTATTTCTGCAAATTTCACGTATGTGAGGGTACACTCACACTACCACGTATTTTCGCAAAGTCGCAAATTTTATGTAGTTTTTCGGGTCACAAGAGGCACGTATTTTGCGTGTTCACACAAAGGGGCACGTAAATGTCAGCGGCCTGGACAGCCGCGGGCTTACATATTTTGCGGGGACCCCCAGAGGTCCCCGCAAAATCGTATTTCTTTTTCCTCTACTGCTTTCTGGAAGCAAAAAATAAAAATAAAAAAATGCATTGTGCTGTCTGACTGCAGACCACGTGTTTTCGCATATCAAGCAAGGCCTAGGCCAGGTCGCGACCCTGTCTTTTCTGCTTTGGGCAACAAACGGGTGACCAGTGTGACCGGCAGGTGCCATATAAACGCAAATTCACAT